TTTGCCTGGCCCGCCCGCACAGGGAAACCAGGCACGGCGCCCTGCCCGCCCTCCCTGCTCCTCCCGGGCAGCCACTGCCCGGCCCAGCCTTGTTTCGCTGAGCTTAGCTCGGGGCGCTGATAGGTGAGGGATGGGGTCATCTGCGGGAGATCGCCCTCCAGGCGGGGCTGGCGAGGAGGGTGGGGGCGCCCCGGGCACTTGTCTAATGTGTGGCGATTATACTTTCGCAAGAGGGGAAGCCAGAGGCGAGGAAGGCAGGGACGCCTGCCTCCCGGTCCCTTGCTCTTTGACCCCGCGAAGATCGACATTTTCGTCTGGTGGGGTTGTTCTGCCCAGTGCTAGATGTGGATTGTGCAGCGCTGTAACCCCGGCCCGGGGAGAGAGGCAGGTGTGGGGGTTGGTCTAATGTGTGGCGATTATACTTTCGCAAGAGGGGAAGCCAGAGGCGAGGAAGGCAGGGACGCCTGCCTCCCGGTCCCTTGCTCTTTGACCCCGCGAAGATCGACATTTTCGTCTGGTGGGGTTGTTCTGCCCAGTGCTAGATGTGGATTGTGCAGCGCTGTAACCCCGGCCCGGGGAGAGAGGCAGGTGTGGGGGTTGGCCTGCCCTTTGCCCGGGATTCCACCTATGCCAGTCGTGCTGCAACAGTTTGTGTAGTCGGGGTGCTGGGAGCCACTGAACCAAACTGAAAACCCTGTATAGAATGGAAACCGCTTCCAGCCAGAGGGTGAGGCAGCACCTGGGGCAGTCCTAGTGCCAGCACCTACACCCATGTGCACTAGTCTCTGTGATGGAGATGGCACCAGCTGGCAGGTGTTTGCACACTTGAAAGGTCCTTCACTTCTGCAGCACAGGACCCCCTGCAAAATGCCTTTGCAGTAGTGGAGGATCAAGGCATGTGTGGGGGGAGTCTACAGTGTGCATTGTGCTGCTGAGTGCCCAGGATGAAACTCCCTTTCCCTGACTTCAAAGGGCTTTGGATCAGCTGCACGCTGGAGCTGTCACTAACCTGCTATGCTTTGTAGACCAAGTGCTTATAGATCAGTCTCCTCAAGTCACTTCTAGTCTGTTCCTGACAAAGTTCTTCCGAACCTAATATAACTAATAGTCATAGGAGCTGAGGGAAGGGGACAATGTCAGGGAGACCCCTCCATTCCCAGCTTTGCCTGAAATCTTGGCTCCACTGAGGTCAGCTGCAGGGTTCCCCTTTTCTTTAATTGGGTCAGGATTTCACCTTCTGCTGCCTGTTCCTTGTTAGGGGATGTATTTATCCCCTCCCTGTTCTGGTACTTTTGTCTGCTCTGCATTGTTCTAAGGATGACACACACAAGTCAGCGGCTTCCCCCATCCGTTCGAAGAAGTGGCACAAAACCAAACTGTTGATTTTTGTAATACTCCAAATAAGTGCATTCTGAAAAATCAGTTTGTTCGAACCAGTGACATTCAACTGTGTCTCACTTCCTGCAGCTCTGAGCACAGACACTAGAAAGGAAGCAGGAGAATGTCATTTTAGTCACAGCTGAGTTTTCCACCTGCTAGAATGAAAGCAGATTTTTCTTCAGCTGTTAAAGCAGGAATTAATAGCAGCTACTGTACTCCCATCTATATTTCATTTATTTAAAAAAAAAGTAATGATGGAAATGCCACAAAATGAATTTTTACAGCAGCCAGGAAATTATGCCAACATTGAGACGACAGCCTTCTGGTTCCCCTATCCTGTACTCACTGCAAGGGGTTCACAGCTTGAAGTGATTGCATAGAGACTCAGCAATCTAATAATTATTCTTATCATAAAGCTCTTAGTAATGTCTACCCCTATGGACCAGTTAACATGCCTTCTAGGCAGGGCTTTTCCTCAGACTGTTTGGAAGGCATGCTGTCTAGTGGTCAGAGAAAAGACCTAGCACTTAGGACTCCTGGGCTCTAATATCCTAGCTGGTATAGTGACTTTCTACATGACCATGGCCAAGCCACTGAGGTAAAAATTTCTGGAAATTGCCATTAATTGTGTTAGCCTCCATGTTTAGCTGCCCCCTCTAAGGAGCCTGGGTGTTTATTCACTTTAGTCAATGATGTCCATGGAAGTTGTGAACGCTAATGACTTTGACTATCAGATGTCTGGTTATTATAGTAGTAGACACTCCCAAACTGAGGCCACTCTTGAAAATGTTAGTTTTAACCTCAGTGTTCTCATTTTTAAAATGGGGATACTTGCCTACTGCAATGCAGAGCCATTTGAATTCTCCAGCCTTATCAGTACAAGGATTCAAGGAATGCAAGGCCAAGTCGCAGTTGATTAACAACAAAACACACACACACAAATCTGGAGCAACCCATACCTCAGAAATCCTATTCTGGACTGCAGAATCCTTACTGTTGTTCCTGCTGGTCTTTCTTTTATGAGAGCCTTCCTTCAGAAGATTATATATATTCTAGAAAGATTTCCCAGCTTGCCCTACTCTTAAAGCCATAGCACCCTACCACAGCTATTTTGCAGGTGTATTTATGTGATTTAATTCATGCAAAATGACTGAGTTCCTGCAGTGAAATAAGTTTCATTTGTATATAATGTTGCATTTATGTATGTCTTTGTAAATGTGTGCAATGCTTTTAAAAAGCCAAGGATCTATTTCAAAGGAAAACATGATTTTTTTAAAAAAGTTTTTTGTTATATAACTATGACATTGAGGTACATGCTTCCAGGGTCCGCTATTACACTCTTCAGGAATGTTACATTAGTGTTCCTTGTACTCAGCTACTTGTAGAAAATAGATTAATGAACCACACAGAAAAACTCCACTTGAGTACCTCAGTGTTCTCCTCTTAAAAATATTTTCAAAAGCAAAGTTTTCCATCTTACTGAATATATCTTATAATCACAGGAAAAGATTTACACCTCCCTGTAGAATTATAAGATAATCTAGAAAGGAAGGGGCTGTTAGTACCCTTTCCCCAACTAATTTGAAGACTTTATTGGGGGACTACTACAAGCTTTTCTGAGACCCTAAAATTGCCTCATCATCTTCCCTCTGCCATGTGAGCATAGAAAGCGCTGTCCTTGTGGATCTTTTTCATTCTTCCTATTGGCTTTCTTCTGATCAAACCATGCAGAAAGCACTGTGTTGTTCATCCATGTGGTTCTTTGCAGAAGGTACTCCTTCCCTTCTATAGTCTGCTGCCTCCACAATACCTCTAGTCTTTGCCAGGCTGGGCACTTGAGGCTAGGCCAACCCAACAGCCTTTTTTCTTAAAGATTATTCAGACCCCTCTTCACCTCGACCTGCTGATTTCAGTGGTATTTTGTGGCTGGACCACTTTCCACTCTGATTTTCAGCTGGAAAAGTAACAGCAAAGAAAAAAACAAAACCCTTTCTGTGTGTGTGTGTGTTGCTGTGAAGGGGTTTACTCACAACTAGGCTATGGCTACACTGTTCCCTCTTGCGCAAAAATATGCAAACGAGGCAAAGTATGGAATATCGCCACACCTCATTTGCATAATTAATGAGGCTCTGTTTTTGCACAAAAGCCTCTTGTGCAAAAACAGAGCCTCATTAATTATGCAAATGAGGCACAGTGATATTCCACGCTTTGCCTCATTTGTATTTTTTTTGTGCAAGAGGGGCAATGTAGACATAGTCCAAGTATCTTCTTGTGGAGGGGCTTGGCAGCTGTCTCCCCATCAGGTATCTGTGGTGGAAAGTCGTTTCTGGCCTGTGGTGATCTGTCTCTTCCTGTGAATTGGTCTGTCGAGGTCATGTCAAAATTTCTCTCATTCTGGGGTAGTCAGTGAACAAAAACAAGGGGAATTGAGTTCTCAGGTCTGAGAGGGATTGAGCCCCTCTCAATGCCCATTAGTGCTGGTAATATTCAAAATGGCAGCCTTAACCTGTAGAATTCCATGCAGCCACAGAGTCAAACCTTCAGTAGGCTGCCAAGGCTGGGCGAGTCAGGTAGGGGGCATTCACAAAGGCTCAGAATTCAGCAGGCCATTGGGAAGCCACTGCTGCTCGCCCAAAAATGATCAGGCCCTATCTTAGTTAGCTTCATAAGTGCTGGTGGCTTCCAACCTTGCAGCCAGAATCCCAGCCGCCCTAGCAGGCTGCAGCCCTGTCAGTAGCTCTTGTAGGAAGTTTGGTGGGAGGTCCTTCTCCTGGATTGCCATCTCACCTAGCAGCTGTTGCTGTTGGGCTGTTTATAGCTGTTGTTGAATAGCACTGTTGCAAGACTTGCTGTTGAAACTACTGTAGCTGGTTGCTTGTTTCACTGTTCTCTCCATAGGCCACTTGCACCCCTGCTCTGGATCAGTGGTGCTTAGATTCTCTGTCTCTTCCGTGCATGTGTTTCCCACTAATTTACCCGTGTGTAATGGCTGGAAAGTGCTTACCTGCATTTGTAGCAACCCACATCTCTCTACCACCTTTGGAGAGAGGGTGGATGCTGCTCCTGTCTCAGATCCAGGTGTGATATTCAAGGCATTGAGTCTCTTGTAGGAGGAGGGGGGAGTTAAATTTATTGAAACAAAATATCAGTGTGTTTCTTCAGGCCACAAAAAGCACAGTCCTAGGCCTGTGAGAAGCCAACGAAAAGAAAAATATCAGCTCTTCTCC